AAGTGGGAGGAGAGCTGTTGCATTGTGGTAAATTGTGGTCAATGTCATGAGACAAAGTGTATGTGAACTGCTGTATGGAAAGTGAATTTGCTCTGTATATCTTCACCCAAATCACAATTTAAATAAATAAAATAAAATGCTTCTCAGAGTGGATCACTTCATGTTTAATGTCATAATTTTAACAATGAAGTGTGGAAATAGCAGGCTCATAATGTGAAAATTGCTGTAAATATATGTTAGAATGCCTTTCAGTTTTGGTTTGGCATTTTTATTAATAATTTGAATGAGGAATTAATTAAATAGTAATCCAACAGGTTGCCAAGAGTGTGGTTCATGTGTTGGATACTGGAGTCATCAAAACACAGATTTCTACAATATCAGAATCTCAAGGGCTTTGGGAGGCTACCTCATTGTAACGCTTCATTTTACAGATGAAGAAACCAGCTCAGAGAGGTCAAACCAACACCCCCAGTTCCATCTGGAATGAAGGGCAAAGCTGAGATACACCCTTGCTCCTTTCTTCTTTTCTTTTTTCTCAACAAATGAAAGTTACATCATGACTCAAGATTCAAATAGACATTTAAAAAAAGGCAAAAAACTGGAGAAGTGAGCTGATGAGGCGAGATGAAATTTAATCAGGTCAAATGTGTAAGGACCTATACGTTATGCCCCAAAAAGTCTACTGTATAAACACAGTATGGGGCAGATGTCTCTTAATCAGCAACACTTGTAAGAAACACTTAGCGATGTTACTTGGCTGCAAGCTTGAGATGTCAGCAGTGCGATGTAGCTACAAGAAAAAAGATAATGGGGTCTTAGAAGGAATTACTAGAAACAGAGTTTTCAGAAGGAGGTGATAGTCCTGTTGAAATTTTCAATCTACACCTAGAATTCCTCATTCAGTCTCAGGGGCCAGACTTTAGAAGTTGTTGTTGTTATGTGCCATCGAGTCAGACACGACTCATAACGACCCCTCCTTGGGTTTCCTAGACAGTATCACTACGGAAGTAGATTGCCTAATCTTCCTTCCAAGGAGTGGCTGGTGGATTTGAACCGCCAGCCTTCTGGTTAGCAGTCAAGTGCCTTAGGCACTATGCTACCAGAGCTCCCGACTTTAGAAGAGATGATATAGACAAATTAGTTCACACCAGTGAGAGGAGCCTAGGACGTAGTCACGTAATAGTAAGTTACTCAAAACCAAACCCATTGCTGTTGATCCCAACTCGTAGACATCCTGTAGGACAGAGTGGAAAGGTCCCATAGGGTTTCCAAGGCTATAAATCTTCATAGAAGCAGACTGCCTCATCTTTCTCCCACACAGTGGTTGGTGGGTTCAAACCATTGAATTTTAGGTTAGCAGCTGAAAGTTTAACCATTGCACCACCACACCAGGGCTCCTCCAAGAAGAAGTTGTTGTTGTTGTTGTTGTTATGTGCCATTGAGTCAGCCCTGACTCATAGCGACCCCTCCTTGGGTTTCCAAGGCAGTATCACTACGGAAGTAGGATTGCCCAACCTTCCTTCCGAGGAGTGGCTGGTGGGTTTGAACCGCCAGCCTTCTGGTGAGCAGGCAAGTGTCTTAACCACTATGCTACCAGAGCTCCCGAAGAAGAAGTTAGGGAGCTACAAAGCACCTTAAGTAAGGGCTTGAGTGTTGAAGTCTGTTTTGGATTGAATTTTTTCCTCCAAAAATATGTTTAATTTCTATGCCTGTGGTTATAATCTCATTTGGGAGTAGATTTTTTGTTATGCTAATGAGACAGGATTAGTGTAGGGTGTGTCTTAAACCACTCTCTTTTGAGATACAAAAGAAATTAAACAAGGAGTCCAGAGAAGCAGAAATGGGGGAAGGTAAGGGCCAAGCCACGTGACCATTGTCTAGGAACAGAAGCTCAGAAGAGACAAAAACCTTCCTCCCCTAGAGTCGGCAGAGGAAAATTTTCTGCTATGGCTGACACCCGGAATTCAGACTTCTAGCCTCCTAAACTGTGAGAGAGGGAGCTCTGGTAGCATAGCGGCTAAAGTACTTGACTGCTAACCAGAAGGCTAGCCAACCAGCCACTCCTCGGAAGGACGGTTGGGCAATCTAGTTCTGTAGTGATACCACCTTGGAAACCCAAGGGGGAGTCGGGTCTGACTCAACGGCACATAACAACAACAAACTGTGAGAGAATAAATTTGTTTGTTAAAGCCACCCTTTTGCGGTTATTTCTGTTATAGCAGCACTAGAGAACTAAGACAGGGTCAGACTTCCTGAGTCTAATTCCAGCACTGCTAGTTACTGAGTGTGTGTTTTCTAAGCCCTAATTTCACTGTCAGTAAATCAGAAATGATAATAGCGCCAATCTCCTAAAGTAAACGAGGTGGTGCATGTCAAGTGATTAACACATTACTGGCACAGAACAAGCAGGCAATGAATGTTAGCTCCTATTAGAATTAAGGAAGTGACATGATGTGGTGATAAATGTGGATAATGGTAACAATCTCATAGGATTGTGGTGGATATTAAATGAGTTAACACATGCCAAGTGGTTGGCACAAATTTGGCAGCTATTATTATCATCTGCAGTAGAGGGATTGGCCTAAGGTTTCTAGGGATGGGCCTTGTTTGGGACAAAATATTCCATGGCTTGAGCTAAGGTCTACAGAATCTGATGGGTTATACCCTATTAAAGATGCTCATTTTTGCGTATCTGTATGTGAGGGAGAGGGATGTTACAAACAATTACAGCCTGACTGCTTACCGAGTATCGTGGGTTGAACTGTGTCCTTCAAAAACATGTGTCAACTCGGCTGGGCCACGATTCTCAGTGGGTTGGTGGTTATGGACTGAGGCATTTGGCAATTATGTACTGATGTAATCATCCCCCATGATGCGATCTGATGTGATCAGCCAATGAGTTGTAAGGGGATTAGGATGAAGTGCAACACCCTCACTCAGGTCACAGCCCTAGTCCCATTTAGGGGAGTTTCCCTGGGGTGCAGCCTGCATCACCTTTTATCATACAAGACATAAAAGCCGAGAGAAGGGAGCAGAGAGAGAGGAAAGAGAGAAAAAAGAGGCAGGAGAGAAGTGTGTCTTTTGGATCCTGTGCTGAAAGCTCCTGGACCCAGGGAAAGATGGATGCCAAGACACATGAGATTTCCAACAAATGCTGGGCTCACAGATGTTGAAAGGAGAAAAGAACCTTCCATAAGAATTGACACAGAGAGAAAGCTTCTAGAGCTGCCTTCCTAAACTGTGAGAGAATAAATCTGTTTGTTTGCAATACCATCCACTTGTGGTATTTCTGCTACAGCAACACTTGAGCACTAAGACGTTGGGTGGGCAGTTCGAACCTAATTAGAGGCACCCGGTGAGAAAGGGCTGCAGATCTGTCTCCTAAATGTTACAGCCTTGAAAACCCCAAGGAGTGCATTTCTACTGTAACAACACGAGAGTCAGAATAGACTTCACAGAAACCGTTTTGTTTGTTTTTTCACAGGCCGGGGTGTTGATGATTGGTGGTCCTTCAGACATCTTATGAGAGTACTCATTTGGTGAAAATGCGGGCCCGCTGATTTGCCATTGTGGCAGCGTGGCTGAGTTCTTGGAGTAGTCATCTAAGCTTGTGCTTGGCAAGGTTCTGATCACATGGTGTAAGTGTAGTCATTCAGGGTAGTACTGGGGATGGCCACTCAAGCCTATTCTGGGCATGGTCACTGGAACGGACCCTGTGGGATCACTTAGGGGTCAAGCAAAGAAGAATGACCCTGTGGATAAGCCCTCAGCTCCTTGTGCCGTTTCCCGCAGCGTTCTGGACATTACCAACCCCATGGGACAGAGACACTTTCCCCAGGAGTAGTCCGTCGCTAGGGGGCGGCTGCTAAAAGAAGAATCCGATGGGCCCGACCAAGTCAGCTCCTCTGGCTCTCTTTCTGCTTCCCAGCAAGATGTGGGGTGATAGTGGAGTGGGGGTGCATGTTTCATGCGCGTGAGACAGCGAGCCGCCCGAGTGTGAGTCAGCGCGCGGGGAGGGGGGAGCTGAGGAGCTTGATGAACAGTCACGGAATCTCACTCACGCTGGGCACCTTCACCCATCCCGCCTGGAGTGGGTCCCAGTCCCCCGCGGGTGCGCACACGCCGTGATGTCTGATGTTGGGGTGCGTGTCTGTGTGGCGGCACAGCTGGGGAGGGGAGATGTCCCTGTCAGTGTTTTTATGCCCAGGTTAGGGGATTTCTTCCTCCTCTCCGCCCCAGGTGGGTGTTGGGGGGTGTCTGGTCAAGGTGCGTGCGTGCGTGTGTGTGTGTGTGTGTGTGTGTGTCTGTGAGAGAGAGACAGAGAGAGAGAGAGAGAGGGAGGGATGGGGCTATGTATCAGTGTAGGGTGGTTGCGTCGGCCCTCAGAGTATTTGTCGATGTCTGGATATGGGCGTGATCTCGATCCAGGTTCCCACCCTGGGTGTCAGGAGGCCAGTGTGGTGGGGGTGTCCAGGCTCCTGAAGGAGCAAACGCCTTGACCCTCTCCTCTCACCACCCTCAGCTGACCAGGGTTCTTCAGGGAGCTGCCTGAGTGGGGAGGGCCCGGGACAGCGCGTTCCTGGGAGGGGTAGAAGAGTAGGGGATCGGGGCGGGCCAGGTCCCCGGGCGCGGCGCGGGCTCGGGGGACCCGCGCGGCTGACGTCAGGCGACTCCTTAAATAGAGCCGGCAGCGCGCTCGGCTCGGCATTTCTCAAGGAACCGGAACGGGGCCGGGGCCGGCGCCAGCGCCACCGTCCGGTGCGCCGCCAGCCCGCACCTCCGCGTCGCGACCGAGCTTTCTGTGCGCGGCGCTCCGAGGATCCGGAATGGGATTTCTGGCGCTGGGCGCGCTCCGAACCCGGCGCCCCTAGGAGCCGAGGAGCGCCCAGAGCCGCCTCGCTGCCTGGAGCCCCCGCGCCTGGGACGAGATGTTGGAAGCGCCACCGCCTGTTCCCCGAGGAGCCGCTGCCCGCGGGATCACCCGGCATGATTTGCGCCGGGGCCACAAGCGGCTGGAGAAGACGACGCCCCCTACGCTTGACCCGCGCGTCCGGAGCCGCGCCTCCTGAGCCTCTTGGCGGCCTCAGGGCCAAAGCCGCTCCGCCGCCGGTGCCCCCTCGGAAACCATGACCTCCGGCGCGCGCCCATGGAGCCATGGCCTATAGGGTCTTGGGCCGCGCGGGGCCACCTCAGCCGCGAAGGGCGCGCAGGCTGCTCTTCGCCTTCACGCTCTCGCTCTCCTGCACTTACCTGTGTTACAGCCTCCTGTGCTGCTGCGACGACCTCGGCCAGAGTCGCCTCCTCGGAGCGCCTCGCTGCCTCCGCGGCCCCAGCGCGGGCGGCCAGAAACTTCTCCAGAAGTCCCGCCCCTGTGATTCTCCGGGGCCGACGCCCAGCGAGCCCAGCGCTCCCAGCTCGCCCGCCGCCGCCTTGCCCGCCCCTCGTCTCTCGGGTTCCAACCACTCCGGCTCACCGAAGCTGGCCACGAAGCGGCTGCCCCAAGCGCTCATTGTGGGCGTGAAGAAAGGGGGCACCCGGGCCGTGCTGGAATTTATCCGGGTGCACCCTGACGTGCGGGCCTTGGGCACGGAGCCCCACTTCTTCGACAGGAACTACGGCCGTGGCCTGGACTGGTACAGGTAAGGGCAGGGGAACCCCACTGCGCGCGCCCAGTCTCCACTTGGCTCATCCTTGGAGCCATCTCTTGTGCTTTCTCTTCCCCTTAACCCAGCTCGTTATGTGGGTTCAGGCTGACGGTGGAGACTCGAGTAGAAGGGTTTATCCTAAACTTCTCAGTGATTACCTAGGCGGGGCACGCGGTTTCTTGGACTGCAAAGGGCGTTGCCTGTTGTCTCTGGAGTGCCCAGAATGGAGATCTTCAGCCAGACCTCGTGGCGAGGCAAGAAGGCTGGTTCTGTGCCCAGCTTTTGGGGTGCAGCAGAGTATCCAAAGAAGCGGCAGACCAGGGCATGAGCACAGGCCTCTCCTCACCTGCTGCAGATCTTTCCTGGTCGCGGGCTTCTGAAGGACCCTGGGAAGGGGAAAGGCAGGGCAGAGCCCCCTTGCGGCAGGGCTCCGCGCTCGGAAGAGGTCCTCATCGTTCAGGCTAAATGAGAGACAGCCTGAAGTCTCTGGGTGAGAAAGGTCCCTTTCTAGTCTCATTCTTAGCTCCAGTTACCTGGGCTGAGACTCTCAGTCACATTGACCCTGGTCCAGCCTTATTGGGATGATGGGAAAAAAAAACCTGCATTCGAGTCTTGTTAAGTTCTTTAAACTCTCCCAGCCTTGACTTTCTCATGTACACAATGGGCACAATAACCTTCTTTGCCCTTTTTTTTTTTTTCCTCCCAAGGCCTTGCCAAAGTGTTTTACAAGTGTAAAAAAGACACTTTGAATTGCCTGATGCTGCTAATCCAATAGCCAGGACTTTGGAATACTGGGGGATCCCAGAAGAAGGTTGGCCAGCGTTCTGGGCAGCCACTCAATCATAGGTTGTCCACTCCTCTATGGCACAGCCGGGGATGAGAGTTACCCAGACTGGTGGTGTTTGGAGACAAACTGAAGCTTCTGTAACTTTACAATCTCCACTGTTTGGTACCCACTAGCCTCTCAAGCACTGTCTGGAGCTGGAGTGTCGAATTGGCCCACATATGGGATGGCTCAGGGCATCTCTGGGAGTGGGGTAGTATATGGGCTGTCCATAATACATGGGCCACAGAATTCTCACCATTCACCTAACTCCCTGAAGACTTTCTAGAAATATCTGTGTAGTAATGGAACTGGGGAGGGGCATTGTGTTAGCTGACACAGTAGCTGAGGCTGATTGTTATCAAAGCAAAGGCTTTAGGCAGTAGAAGGATGATGAGGCTATGGGGCAAAGGACAACGACTTCACTAGAAGGGGGACTTCTGTGATGGGCTCATTTTAGGAGGCCATGGACTTGCAAGAAGGGGGCCACAGGGCCAACTTGTCACCATTACCAATTAGCTCTGGTCTGCAGTGGTCATGGTTGTAAGGACAGAGGGTGTGGCAGTTACCATCCTCAGGAAACAGGTACATCATCTGTCTCCAGTGGAGCCCAGCACCATTCTGCCTGGTTAATGGGGTAGGGTGGCTTAGAGTGGCAGGTTGGGCTCAGTGCCAATGCCAATGGCCCTTGGTGCTTTCCAAGTTGTGACCTGCAGGCCTCCCATCTGGGTGTTCGAGGACCCCATCTGAGCCAGACCCCAGAGCAGATGCGGCAAATGTGTTGGACAGCAGAGCCTGGAGAGGGTCTGCCAGGCCACACTTTGATGCTCACCAGGTTTCCTCAATGGAAAATCTGAAGATCATTAGGAGACCCCTTGCCAAAGTGAAGCACCTTTTAAGTGCAAAATAGCAAAATTCTGAGCATCTGGCTTTTGAATGTTGCTCCCTAATAAGCACCTGTGCCCTGAACCCGGATTCTCCTCTCCCCGTCTCTTCCCTCCCCACCCTCCAGCATATCCCAGGCTTCCTTCCTGAGCCTGTGTCATTCAGGGATGGGTGCTTTTTATTTTTAACCTTGGCATATGTGATTCTAAGCCAGCTTAGCTGTGAACATTAGAGATGGGAGCCGTGCCTTTATTTTTTATTATTATTTTTTTTTCTTTTTTAGCACATTTGGATTCTGCTAAAATTCTCAGCTGAGTCTTGGTAGGTTTTATTTAACATCAGACATGCTGACAGCTCCACTTCTCTCTCCGCTTCCCTCCTTCTCTGAGTGTGAGTTGCCCTCCCATCCCTGCTCTGTTTCTAAAGGAATGCTTAGCCTGGGGGTCTGGGTACCAGTCCTCCATCCCCACCGGCTCCGTGGAAGGCTGGGAGCCTACAGCATCCGGAAGGGCTGTGTGGTTGTGCTTCTTTCAGTTTCCCTGAGTCAGGGGTCTCAGTGTGGATCGCCATTTCTGCACAAGGTAGTATGGCCCCATTTGGCTACTGCTTTGATAATTCCCAGAATATTTTTCTATATTTGTTTTATTCTTTATGACCACACAAGTAAAACCCATTAACTGCAGAAGTGATGGGGATTTCTGGAAGCCCTTATATCCATGTTATCTCTTTATTCCTGAATTCCATGAAGTAGGTAGGGCAGATGACATAATACTTCTTCCTTTGCCCACTGACCTCATCATTTTATGGATGTGAAGACTGCAGTTCCCCAAAAGGAGAGCATCTGGAATGGGATCACAGGGCAAGGTGATGACATTTAGGACCCAAGTCACTGGTATATACTATCCCACAAAGATATAATGTGTGGGTGCGTGTATGTGTGCATGTCCAGCCAAGGACTCTAACCATGGCTACACACAGCATGCACCGTAGAGCCAGTGCCTGTCGCATGGACGTGGCCATAGTGTCTTGCATCACTGTGGTGGAGTGTGCTTTCCAAGGGTAGAATTGTAGGCAGGGCATCTCGTTATGATTTGCCCACATCTCAACCCCTGGGGATAACTTCCTGGGTCAGGAAGCCCAGCTCCAGGTAGAGAATATTAAAATCAAAATGTTTTGCCATCAATGCAACAGAAAGACTTCTCTCTGTGGGTTGTGGTTGTTGTTAGCTGTTGCTGAGTCAGCTCCCGGGTTACAGTGACCTCATGCCCCGTAGAACAAAATGCTGCTCAGTCCTGTGCCGTCCCCATGAGAGGTTGAAGGTCAGACCGTTGTGATTCATGGGGTTTGCAGTGGATGAGTTTTGGAAGTAGATCACTGGGCCTTGCCCCCTAGTCTGTCTAAGTCTTGAAGCTGTTCAGCATCATGGTGACACGGAAACCCCCACTGACAAATGTGTGGTGTCTGCACATGAGTACACTGGCTGGGAATTGAACCCAGATCTCCTGCATGGAAGGTAAGAATTCCACCACCGGACCACCACCAACCTCCTTTCTGCTGGTAAATGAAGATAAACCAGGAGGTGACAAATGGTGCCTGAAGGCAGGGTGGCACATACAACACCGTGGCCAGAGAGACCAGAGTCAGAGTCTCTACCTCCTTGGCATCCCCTGAGTGCTTTCTGGGAACCAGCCCGGCTCTAGCTGCCCTTTGAGAGCCCACTTTTCTGCGGTGGGACCCCTGCCATGTGGTGTGTTTTCTGCTTACCTCACCCATGCATCTGGCCCTGGTTTCCCTCTCTAGATATTTTCCCCAGGATGGCAACTGGGCCTGCAGGGTGGCGTGGGCTAGCTGCTTGGGCAAGTAGGCAAAGTGACACCAGCCTGGTGAGGGAACCAGCAGAGGACCTGCTGTCAGAAGACCCGAGGTAGTGTCCTAGACACTTTGTGATTCAGAGCAAAGTGGCCTTCCTGAGTCCCAGCTTCCTCATCACAGTATGGAGCCTGTGATAGTTACAATCGACGTTTGTTTTGAAGAATGAGTGAAATGCTGTATATGGAAGTGCCTGGACAAATGATATAGTATAGAAAGAGAAAGCAGTCGTTGCTACCATTGTAACTGTTACTGGCCAATGCAGTTACCGTCAACTCGATTCCGACTCATGGAGACCCTGTGTGTCAAAGTGGAACTGTGCTCATAGGATTTTCAATGGCTGAGTTTTCAGAAGTAGACTGCCAGGCCTATCTTCCAAGGCACCCCTGGGTAGACTTGAACCTCCAACCTTCTGGTTAGCAACCAATCACATTAACCATTTGCACCATCCAGGATACATTAGTACTAGTGCTGCTTCACTAACAACACCTCTGTTACCACCATTAGTACTGTTACTATAATAACTATTAGTTCTATCCCTGGTACTATTTCCAAGTGGGATGAGGAATTGGTAAGTTGCTGGAAAAGTAATTCCGTGATAGACTAGAAAGGGTCCTGGCCTTGAGTTCCAGTCTCAACTCTGCCATGAACTTGATTTTCTTTGGTCATTTGCTTTCCTTCCTTCCTCTCTCTTACATTGCTAGGTGTGGTAGTTAAATTTGTATGTCAACTTGGCTGGGCCTGGTTGAGTGGCTGGGCAGCTGGTGGTAGTTTTTCCCCATGATGAGACTGGCAATCAACTCCAGGTGGGATCTACCACAAGCAGCCTTTCGGATGTGGTCTGTTTCTGTATATAAGCAGAAGCCTTGGGAATGGTCTCTAGCCCATGGCACGCTTGGACCCTGCATGTAGCTGTGTTGTTGTTCAGCAGCCTGCCATGCTCTGCCAACCTTGGGACTTACAGTGGACTTGAATTAATGGCCTGCTGTGTGGTTTGGTGATGTTGGGACTGTGCCTTTTTACTTGTCAACCTTGGGCTTGGCAGCGTCAGCAGCCAGCAGCTGTCGGAGTGAAGAAAAGCCTCCAGCTTCAGTGGGCCGGGAGCAGGAGGCAGAGCTGACGCCCACGGCTGAGGGGCTTTCACCCAGCCCCTAGAGCTTGGCATTTTGAATTTGGACTTAACGCCTCCAAATTGTAAGAATAAACTCCTGTTTGTTAAGGCCATCCATTTGTGGTATATTCTTTTCAGAGCGGCACTAGGTAATGAGAACATTAGGAGTTAATGCCACTCCTTCTGGGAGTGAGCTTTCTCACCTTTAAAATGGGAATGATACCTGCCCTGATTTATAATCTTGTGAAAATCAAGGAAGACAATGTACATGGAGATGCTCCTGCAGGTGTGAGGTTATATTTAGGA